ATACCATCTTTCGAGGGGAATGGGCCTAAAGCCTATTGAATAGAATTACTATGACGGAAACCCAACCTTGTAGATTGGAGATCCCAAGATCTTGGTTCAATGGGACAACTAAGTCATAAATGATTCGGAATAAAGCACTTATTCCCATTCCTAAAATTTAAAGTGCTATGTAAAATGTGTATAAGGATAAGTATACATATATACTTTTAATGATTCATAACCTTGAGATAGAAAGGTATGAGATCACCTATATAAGTGTGAAATGGGGCCGTTTCTACGAGAATTCGAGGTTTAATTCTCTTAGAGCACTTATGAAACCAAGAGTTATCCAGGGCCAAAATGGACTCAACCATGAGAACCGAATAGGTTATATGAGTCATGGTGTTGGTACAGTTGTTTGGTTTTACACGAACGGTTGGATGGTTCAAGACATCACGTTCACCAACTAGCCTAGTAAATCCGATTGTATTCAACTAAAGAAGGTTCAAGACCACAAGCTACCTATCTTGATGCTACGACTTGTCGTGTGTACTCCATTTGTTAGAGTCTGCATTTCATTTGCATTGCATTCGCATTGTGTTGCGCATATCGAGGAATTTCCATTCATGTGGGGGATTGTTGGATATTGGTTAAATAAATCGAGAATTGAAAATCGATTAAAGTGACTTCGTATCGACTTCTTCGAAAACCAATATCGGATGAATGAGAAATTACGAAAAAGGACGAAAATTAGTAAATAGACACATTTTCATAAATGTGCATTGTTTGAAAAGGGTGCATGGTTTGGCCTCAACCATTAGTGAATAGACATCTTTTCATAAAGGTGCATTGTTTGGAAAGGGTGCATGGTTTGGCCTCAACCATTTCGTCCACACCCTTTCATGGTCTATAAATAGGACCCTTTGGGTGTCCTATTCCTCACAATTTTGATATGCAAAAACGTCTCTCATCCTCTCTTCTATCCAAAATCAAAATCATTTCATTTATTTTGATTTTCCTTCATTTCATCCTTGGAGTACATAAGCCTAAATTTGGTTCGTTGTACTTGTGTTTTGGAGTGCTACAAACACAAGTGTAGTCGTTGTATCTTGGGAGTCGATTGCCGAAATCCGTAGGCACCGTTGCGGGGCAAATTCGACTTAAGGACAAAGAGTCCAACTCTTGCCTCGACTTTGTCCCTACTTTCTTCTTCTTCTTCTTGTTTGTGTTTTCTTTGCCGTTACTCTGTCCAATTTTCGGTACGGATTTACAAACCATCATTATACTTATTTTGGCGTCACTATTCACAAAATTCATCCAACAGATATACATCATTATAGATACAATATTATGTACAAATAGCATATTTGATATGTAAACCCATTTTTGTACATCATTATGTACAAATAGCATTACTTTTTTTATACCTCACTAATTTGTAAAAAAATTATGTAAATGGATATATACCACAAGCATTTTCCTTTATAATTTCATAATGAAAAAATGAAATTATTGCTTGGATTTGTTGGCCAACGCTCGTGTACATAACCAAAAACTGGATTTTTATCCTACGGCTAGGATGTCATAAAAGGATCATTATCAAGGACAATTCGCATGATATTGTTTGTAGGAGAGAAGTATCGAAATGATGGTCTTTATAATATATTCACGTGATAAGATCATCTGTTCACATGACGATATTTCATCGTCGAGTTACTCAAAATGCAACACATCAACCTCAAACAAATACTTTGTTTCTCTCAAAACTCGAGGTTTCGCAATTTGAGCGGCTTTGAATTTCATTGTTTGAGTGGATGATTTTATCGTGTGTTCATATATGATTGTTCCATTGAAGTTTTTCTCCATTTCTCGTATGGTGAGAGTGAAATGCAGGCCCTATAATTTATGATTGAAAATCGCAATATAGACACTATATTAACCGCTTTACGCACTTAAATCTTGAAGTTGTATGAAATTGCGATTAAGAAGAATTGCAAGTTTTGAATACTTATTTGACAGATAGTTATTCGAGGCCAGTATAAGTTTAAAATTAATTATGTATGGTTTAGAAGACTTATTGCTGCTTTTTGACAAATTTAGAGGTTAATTTGTAATTTTGCAAATTTAAAAGGACAGAAGTGAAATGAAATTATGCACGATTAAAAGAATGATCACACAGTAAAGTTGACTTCGAGGTAAACGAATGATCTAGAGAAACGAGTTGGTAGGAATTACGGGAGCAATAATTTTATCAAAAAGTCGTTTGATGTATCAAAGTTGGATTTCACATACCAACAAATGTTTTTGATTATTAGCTTAGAAAGATGACTTCCGCACAATTTTGGATGAGATTCAGTTGTTAACAAATTTCAACCCATCTTGTCTCCACGTATGCGTGCACTCTCACCTCAAGTTAAATTTAAGACAGTGAATTTGGTGTGGTAGAAACACGACGAAAGGAGAATACGGGAGTCGTGTTTGGATTTATAGATTGAGAACTATCAATTTGTAATTACTTTCAAATGATACAATGTATGAATATTTTATACGTAAGAGAGATGGAGTTGAAGTCATTTGGATGCTTTGCATGTAACTTTGTACCAATGGTCCATGCATCAGGTTCAATGGTGTCACATAGTAGTAATCATGGGCATATAACCTCCATACTTTGTCCTAGATGGATTAGCATGGAGTTGACTACCAATTATATTTGTAGAGATGCCATGTCAATTGAATCAAACATGGCTTGAGGTGTTAAAATGTAACTTGCTCATGGCATGAGGGCTCTGGCATCAATCAACTCGAAATCAAAGATGGTTCACTTGGTGTTGCTAGGGACGGGGTCCCTGCTACTTGCTTCATAAGAGCAAATTGACGAGTCTACCAAAAGCCGTATGGCCTCAGAGAAGAGCTTCGATGAGATGTTGGAATGTGCTTGCATTCTATATAGAAAATGAGGGTGGATGAGCAAGTGGAACAAGCCTTGTCGCCTCGACCGAGACGACAAAGGAGGCAACAAGCTTTCAAGTGCATTCGCTTCCAAAGGAGAGGTGCTAGCATGATATTTTACTCAGTTGACAATGCGTGTCTTCTCATGTGAACAAATGCGCAGCATAGTGCTCGCTTTATCATTAAAGCTTTAATTATCAGTGCATTTCTTAATATTTAGCTCCTGTTTGTCCCATTTTTTTTTTTTCAATTTTTTTCTCATACTCATTTTTTGTTACATATTCATACAATAAAATATTTTGTACGTAAATTCAAATTTTTTATATTTTTTAATCATACATTTTTCGAAAAACTACTATTCAAAAATTTATTTTTTGTACAATTCTAATTTTCGAGATCACAGCAAATTGAACTCAATTGATATAAAATATAGATTTATTTTCATGATATAAAAAAATAGGTTTTTGGAATGATTCGAATGAATAATACGTTTTAAAGCTTTTTCAGTAATAAATATTCTAATATATTAATTCTTAAAAGTATAGGCTTATCATCACGATATAAAATAATAGGGTTTTTTTTTTTTTTCATATGATATAGACTTATTTTCATGATATAAAAAGGTTTTTGGAATGAATAATATGTTTTTAAGTCTTTTCAGTAATAAATATTCTAAAATATTTTTAAAATTATTATTTCTTAAAAGTATGCATGAATTGTGTAGCCTAAATGGTCAGTTGTTTAAAGTTATTTCAAGAAATAGTTTAGAAGAATTGTTATAGAATTCGAACCGTACCTAATGGTGACATTGGTAGCAATGGGTACACTTGACATTAGTAGGTCGATTTGCAAGCCAATATGCCAAAATTGTTGTATCTAAGGTATATATATATATATAAATGTTTATCTTTCAATTTAATAAAATTGAGCCACTTAGTTCACAACTTTGTTCAAACTTGTCTGTTGCCCATTTGACCTCCAATACGTTCCAACCACTAACTCGTAATGTTAATTTGATTAATAAGCTCATGTTTGGTGGGAATTAAAATTGAATTTTTAGTAAATTTTGATAAAAAAAAAATTTAATTTTTGATTGAAAAGTTGTGAGACCCATAAAATATGTGATTAATATTGATTGTTTGATTTTGACTTAAATTAAAATTTGATTTAAATCAATACCAGACAAAAGCTAAATAATAATTAAAATTGTCCATACTCAAGGGCCAGCCTCGAAGTTCAATATTTTTGATTTATTTACGATAGTTGTGATCTCGTCATCTTCCCAATCAACGGTAAATTGACCCGAATTGAACCGTCTAATTCTTTCACGTTATGAGGAGAGGTTCAATATATTTAGCCCTTGTTTCGCAAGCATTTTGCAAAAAAATTAATTCATTTTTTGACCACTTTCTTATCAGTGGTACCTAGTGGTATAGAATATTCTGATTGCGCAGGACGCATAAAGATGATTTTGTCATTGCTCCACTTAGAATGAGTTTTATGTGAAGGAGTAACTAAGTAATTTTGCTAGGGTTGGTCAATAAATGCATCTGTCTCATTCCTTTGTGACAGGCAAAATTCTTTTAAAAATCTGGTGAAAATAGCCATCAAACACGGGCTTAGAATGTTATAAATATTTATATGGAATCACTTTAGAACCAATTCGTAAAGAAAAGCTATTCAATTGATAGTTACCCTCAAGAAATAATCATGACAATTCACTCTCTCATACATTGACATTCAAGCTCATCTATTTTATGAGCACACTAACTTTCACGGTATCATGAAAGTCACATTGCCTAAATGAATCGTCATGTGAAGCTTACGAGCTTGTAATGAGTCGAGCACATTCCTACTCTCTAGGATTGTTGTACGATATATATTTCTCGAGTTTTTCATAAAAGTTTTTCTTGATTGTGATTTTTGGTTTCTCGCTATTTGGTTGTGATTTTAATTAGATCTTTAGCAAATTCTAATATTTGAAAATGTCCCATTTAATTAAAATATTAAGACATACACGCCCACCACGGATTGAAATGTTCTCGAACGAGTGAATAATGAGTTCGGCTGCAGCAAAGTTGTCGATTTTCAAATGAGAAGATAATCGGAAAATAATTAAAAGAATGAACGGCTGGGATAATCCGACAGATCGCGTTATTGTGGTAGAGAAAAACACAGAGAAGAATCCAAGGTAGAACAAGTCGACATACTTTTTTTGTCTGAATCCAGGATACCAGCCTGTTTCCCAAATCCGTTTATTGATTTGGGTTCACATAAAATTCTGATCCTCAAATTTCCCGGTTTTATTTCTGACCTTTCCTTTCTAAAGAGGGGCCCTAATTTTAGAATAAAAATCTTGTGGGGAACTTGAGGTGCAGAGGAGGATAATTTGAAAATGATATGATTCATTAAACAAATCAGAACCAAAAGAGAGATTTGGTTTCAGAAACTTTAAGGGGTTTTTGAAACTGGGTTTCGGAAATGGTTGAGATATGCTTGATGGCTTCACATGGCTACCCTCTTGGCCTTAACTTCCATCACGAACAAGTGGGCATGGCTAGGGTTTCCAAGGTTAGAAAATAATTCTCTTTGTTGGTTTTATTATCTGGATTGATTAAATTTGTTGTAAATTCATTTCAGTTAATTTCTTCTTGTGATAATTGAATCGGGTTTATTGAGTTTGAAAGATTTATATTTTTCTGTGCTAAGCTGAGCCCTCTCTGAGTCTACGCACTATTTCTAAACTATGTATAAGCCCCCGTTTGATCCCCATTAAATTAAAAGAGTGTTTGGTGGGAATTAAAATTTGATTTTAGTTATCACAGATTTGAAATGGGTGATTGAAAAGTTGTGCGACCTTAATATTGATTGTTTAACTTTAACTTAGATTAAAATCTCCGTACCAAACAAGGTGTAAATTTCATTTTTCTCTCTTTTATTTTGAAATCACAAAATTTTACATAAAATAATATTACAGGCCTTCTATTTGAACCATTCATTCTAAAAAAAAATACTATTCCACTCATTACCATTTGAAAAAATGGGGGCCAAACGGGGGCTAAATAACACACTTTACCAAGAACATTCTATGAAAATTATTTATTTTCAAGTTGAACTCTCTGTTTTCTGTTTTCTACAGTGTATTGCGCATATATGCTTAGACTTTATAATGAAGCTAAGGAATGCATTTGGAGATTCTTCAATTTTAGGAAAAAAATAATGGCCCTTTGTCATTTTTCTTTAGATTTCATTTATTTAGCCTATGTTTCTAAGAGAAATTCTTCATATATCTGCTTTTTCCTCTTTTGGCTTATAGCATTAATTCTAAATTTGGGATGAGAAGTTTGTGTTTTCTTATAAACGGCATGTTAATTTTAGTTGGCTTTGAACTTCTAATTGGAAGTTTGTGCTTGATAGTTATTTAAGTCCTCACATGGAAAGAGTGTTTATGATTGTAAGGTATGTCAAGTTTTTAAAAGAACTTAGATATTTGTACTCTTCTTCGTAGGGTGAACTAGCTCATTTTTGTTAAGGAATAAAATCTCGCATCGAATAAAGATGAACATATAGAAAGATTGAGCTACTCCTTTTAATAAAGTTGACCTTATTAAGCTCCAACGAGCAATTTAATTCGATTAAGACTAAAAAAATGAGCACACGAATTTCAATATTGGTTTGCTCAAACGAGCCACCAAATTTGTGGGGGAATGTTAAGATATAAAATCCTACATCGAATAAAAATGAAAACATAGACCAACTTAAGGGTTTGGACTACTTCTCTTAATAAGATTGATAATTTAAAATGGGACCCTAAGTCTCAATAGTTTTAACTCTTCTAGAATCTACTCTCCTAATAGAGTTGCATTTTCTCCTCTGGAAGTTATTAAGATAATAACTTAATTTGGCGGTAGATTATATTTTGTTTAGTTACTAAGATCATTTATACCAGAGAGGGAATCACTAATGGCGACTTGGACCGGACATAAGTGGACAATATTAAGGAAGGAAAAGAAGCTAAATTCGTGTCCATTGTATTGTCTAGCCCAAGCCAGATGAGGACTACATACCAAGCATGCCTTGAAGACATGGTTATTGATTCTGTTATATACATATTTTAGATTATAAGAAAAAATGTTGAGGATAATTTAGAAAGTTCATAAACTTTGTAGTTGATGTAATTTGTAAATTATACTTTTTATCAGTTTGGACATGCTTTTGTATTCTCAGAGGATGTTTGCTTTATAGTTTAATTTGTGGATCTGCCCCTGGCTGTGTCCACAAGTTCAGATGGACAGCATATTGTTAGTAATACTTTATACACTCTTTCGTTGATGCTTCACCCCTTACAGATGTATTCTATTTTAAGTTTTCTTCTCTCTTTTTCTTTATGTTTCAGGATCATCCTCATTTTCTTCCCTATATTGGAGTGAACCAAGATCCGTCTAAGTTGCACTCTATCAATACAAGTCTGCATCAAAGAGAAGAGTGGAATTATATAAATGGGCCTTGGGACAGTGACCAATTTTTCAGGGTTGACTCTACTGTTAAGAGACCCGTAACCATTGATGTTCAAGGTCCATATCTTTACTAATTTCTCTGCTTTTTTGCTTAATTTTTCTTCTTTTGACTGACTGTATATGCCTATTAAATCTTCACATCAACTGCAATAAACCTGCAAACACAAAGCAGTACCATTGTACATGATACGGATTAAACCCAAACCTAAACCCGATAGAAATAATAAACAAACAAGAATAGGAAATCCAAGCAAAATTACGAAGATTTATAGCAGTTTATCCTCAATAAGCAAGTTACGTCTGCTCCCCACGGCAGATTTTCACTATAATCAAGAACAAAGTTTATATAATGGAATTTCTCACACCTAGGCCCCCTTTTGGCCTCCATTAATTTCCATTCCATTCTATTTCATTTTTATCTCTCCTACTTTCAACCACACAATCTTTCATAAAATAATATTACATGTAAACTGAAAATTTTTCCTTCTTTTTCAACCACTCATTTAAAAAAAAAAAATAGAAAAAATACTATTCATCCCATTTTTATTTCCACAAAATGGGGGCCAAACGGGGGGCTATTTGTTTTGACTTCTCATACTACACCAAAAGGTCCCCTCAGACTCCTTAAAAAACAGTGAGATGAATGCCCAATATAACCTAGAATTAAAAAAAATCTTCTGGCACTCTTGCTCCTGAAGCGCCAGGAGGGGGGCCAATCAGTCCTGGGATCCTCCACCTCTCAATCAACCTTACCATAAAAGGTGATTTGCGGTTTGGATAAACGAACTATATAATTGGGCTCCACACAATCCAACACCATATTCCATTGAATTTTATTTTGTTATATTTAGATGTTGTATTATTCACTTCCTGTGTATTATGCATTGATTAATAAAATATTTGATTATCTTTCAAAAAAAAAGATATTGCATTTCCAGTAAGTGTTGTTAGTCAGTTTATATCATCTTCTAGAACTTCACATTGGAATGCTCTAACTCATATATTAAAGTACCTCAAAGGAGCTCTAGGACGTGGGATCCTTTACAGGGACCATGGTCATTGTAGAGTTGAGGGTTTCTCAAATGCTAACGGGGTAGGTTCTCCTGTAGATAGGCGCTTTATTATAGGGTATTGTGTTTTCATTGGAGGTAATTCAGCCTCTTGAAAAAGTAAGAATAAAGTGTTGTACCTCGATCAAGTACAAAATCTAAATATCGGGCTATAGCACTAAACAGTCAATGTTGGTCCCTTTCTTTGAGAGGTATTGAGCTTTCTTTCTTTGTTTAACTGCTCACTTTTTTTTCTATGACATGCATTTGTACAAGGAAATTGACCATTTGACAAAATGTTCTTATACAAAAGAAATGAGACAAATGCGTCATGCTGTTCAATACGAGCTTGTGGATGTCAATTGTTTATAATGTTAATGATCCAACTTAAGATCTCATTTAGGGAAGAAGTTTGAGTTTGAGTTTGAGTTACATTTTTTCTCATTCATGTTTGTTTGCTTTATGCATTCCTAAACACATTAGTTAAAACATTACGCCAATATACCTTTTATGTTCCTGGCCCCCATTATCAATGGAATTTAAATTGTTCATAACAAAGCCTAATATCAGTGAACTTCAAATTATGGATTTGCTAATTCGTTGTAATTTTCCACGTTTAACTTTGACAATTTCACCAAGTTAAAAGATTTAAAAAATTTAGGCCTAGTTCTCGCGATTTGATGTTCCTTTCATGGTCTAGGCAACATTAGTTGGTTGGTTATATTCGTTGTGAGGGAGAAAACTCTGTTCATTGGCAAGTCTTTTAGGAGGTTTGAAAGAAACAGAATAAGTTGAAATGTTAAAATGTTTGTATAGTTTGGCCTATTGTAAGGCATGGGTGCATCTTATATTGCGCATATTTCTAAATTCTAACATCACTTGATATATTGTACCGATGTTTGTTTTTAAAGTAGAGGTTCATGACTCAGTTTCTTAATTTTTCCTTTATTCTTTATGAAATGATATTTTATACTAGTCTGATAGAATCTCCCCGTATTCATTTCTTTGAACAGAAGGAGAAGAGCAAGTGCTAAGTCAGTGGTTGAAACTGTAAAAACTGCACCTCTTAACAGGTAAGATGCACCTTCAAATCAAGAAAAGTTAATTGTCTTAACTTAAACTTCTGCTTCCATAGTTCAAGTACGATTTGACCACTCTTGGCCGGGCACTAGAAAACCCAATTAATGCACTATCAATTTGAGGTTCACAAAGGGTGCTGCAAAAAAGCTAAAGTATTCGGCCTTCATTTCGTATAAGCATCACCATACATTTTTCCCTTTTGTGGGAATCTGATGTGGACTATTATACAGCTGTGCACTTGCCTTTATATAGTTAGTCATTAGATTGCATAATTGTTATTTGCCAATGTGGGATATAGAACCAAACTAAATCCTCTCATCTTCTTTCATGACCTAAGACCACTTATGAAGGTGTGTGAAAGTGCGACCATGCATAAAAGATATAAACATGTTTTGCTAATTATACACACACACTGGAGACAGTCTCACACTTGAGCACCAGCATCTTCACCCACATTATCAATTTATTGGGACACTTATGTGTGAAGTTCACTTACTTCATCTTTGGTTGGATTGGATAGCGTTATATAATATTAGAATTATGCTGTTTTGCCCGAGGAATTTAACACCTTGGTTGATACGTGAAGTTGTGGCAAAAAATGATTGGATGTTGACTGCTTTTAAAACAATCTAGTGATATAACACCTTGTGGCATTCTGGCATCCAAGGTGTTAAAATCCCTTGGCAATGTAGCAAGATTGACAATATTAAAGAAGGAAAAGATATTAAATTATGTTTTTTGAAATTCACTTACTGCATCTTTGGTTGGATTGGATAGCATTACATAATATTAAAGAAGGGAAAAAAGTTAAAATATTTTTTTCTTGATTCTATCCGGTTTTTTTCGAGTACTAGGTTTCAACTTTCAAGTATACACTTGTTCTCCGAACTGGTCTCTCTCATATTTTTTATCCCTTCTTTAACATACTTCTGCTTTTCTTCAAGTTATTCTGCAATATATTAAGCCGTCTGTAGTAAGTGATACTGAATTTTAACAATAGATGTAATTGAGATATTACATCAAAAAACGAAATACGTGTCAACTCTTATTCTGTAACTTTATGATTAGGTATCCTCTGCATATGAGTATACTTCTAACATATGTGTTAAATTGCTTACAGTCCCGAGAAAGTAAAGGGTAAGATATCACAGAAGAAGAAGAGCAATAGAAAACCCGGTGAAGAAAGGGATATCTACGGAAACAAATACCTTTTTGCATGTGAAAGTCTTCTATCCATAATGGCCAATAGGAAGCAAAACGGTAAAAGTGCAATTTTTTCATTAAAGAAATCTGGTCCTGAACTACCGCAGCTTCTAACCCAGTTTTCTGCAAGCATTGCTGGGACTGGTATTGCCGTTCTTTTCTCCGTTGTCTGCAAAGTTGCTTGTGGTCGAGTCCCCTTCTGTGCATCCAAAATTTTGAACACGGGTTTAGGATTGGGACTGGTTTGGCTTTCTTGGGCAATTCATAAACTTCGAAATACTGTTATCTCGATTAGCAAGAATTCTGGAAAGCTGGCCTTGAAAGAGGAGGAGATGATGAATAATCTCGACAAAAGTTTAAAAGATATCTACTTCAGAATAGCAGCACTAATGGCAGTCACGGTTCTCAGGCTCGCATGATCACGAGACTGGACATGAAAATTCTTGAAATAGTAAATCCCTGGAGACATTCAAGGTGTGATGTTCGTTCTGAGGTGATTTCAAAGAAAGCTTGGTCATCTGGGCGTTTGTAGATCAAGAATGGTTCTCCGAGTTAAAAGGCAATTTAGAATGTGCAGAATGCTTGTGTATATGCTGGACACCATCTGATCTTTAGTGTACGAAAATTTTCAGACATTAATGATTTTAAATTTTTATTACTTTATTTATAGACGATATTTTTTGTCAATAACTTAATTTATGAATATATTTAATTTTTACAGACTAAAAATTTCATTAGTAATTTTAACTTATTTTTTAGCTAAATTTTGGCATCCGAGCTATCACCTGCCAAAAATGTGTGATGTGAAGTTAGTGTTGCCTAGTAATTTTTTAATGAAAAAAGCTCTAGGTACAATGTATTTTTACAGGAAGCTCACAGATTCTTGACTTCGGCTTATGTGGCAGAGAGAGAGAGAGAGAGAGAGAGAGAACAAAAGAAAAAGAAAGAAAAAAAAAAACATAAAAGTCTCCATTGTTTTATTGGGAAGTCTCATTTGTGTCCCTCCCAAAATAGAAGACGGCAACCCTTCCCTCCCAAAATAGAAGATAGCCGGGGTCCATCTGAAATTCATCGGCGTCGACGACCATATCCCAGCTAAGAGGGCACCGTACAAACTTGCATTTCGAGCGATTGGTACCCATTTCGTTTTCCTCGGTAGTCAATCGGGTGGAGTCGACTTGGCTATGGAGATGAAGATTGTACCATAACCCGTCTTCATTTCCAGCTTCCCCCTGTGATAATTATTTCTAGCATCTTCTGACCTATTGCGTATTTTGTGCATTTTCTTAGCTTTTCTAGTATGGCTTTCATGGGAAAATAATGAAGGATTAACAAAGTGATTTCTCGTAACAAAACAATGAACCGGGCGACTGATTAAAGGCCGTTGAACCATTTGAGCATTTCACTGCATCAACTTTTTGAAAACAAAATCACATTTTTTTTTCAAATTTCAATAAGCGCTTTTTTCTATAATCTTTTTTCTTATGTTATAGTTTTTGGATTTAAAAAAATAATACATTTCTATGTAAAATTGCTTGAAAATGAAAAAAAAAATGCTTCACTATGCCAATCACCATAGTGAGACAGTGATTGATCCCTACTTCTTTGTACGAGTTCATCGTGGCTGCAAGCAATGGTAATAGTGCTAGTTATGGTATACCTATGAAATTTTCCAAACCTTACAGAATCACTCCCCTGAAAAACATTTTCAAGTTGCTCAAGGAATAGCTGAAAATATGTAGATGCATTGATTGCTTCTTATAATTTGTGCGGCAAAAAACGAAATTATGGAAGATGGGAATCCTGATTTGTTGCTACAATCTGATAACGAGAACGCTATGGAGAATTTGAATATGGTGGACAATGAAAATGTAGGAGAAGATGTGGCATTAGTGCCTAAGGTGGGTATGACGTTTAGTGATGAGAAGGAAATTTTTTATTTCTACAAAAAATATGCTTACGCCGTTGGCTTTTCGGTGCGAAAAAGGAATTCAAAAAAAGGGGGAAGATGGAGTTATGAGATATGTAACGTTCACATGTAGTCGTGATGGTCGGAGAACTTAAGCTACAGGCGGTTCTTTGAAACCGCAACCAACATGTCAAACTGATTGTAAAGCAAGAATATCTGCATCATTAGATAGTTTGGGAATATGGAGGATTAACAAAGTGTACCTTGACCACAATCACAAAACAAGCCCATCAAAGTCTAGGCTGTACCAATGCAACAGAAAATTGAGTGAAAGTGTGAAACGAAAGCTTGAGGTGAATGATATGGCAGGAATTCCCTTGCATAAGAGTTATAATTCTGCAATTGTTGAGGCTGGTCGATATGAGAACACGACTTTTGTGGAGAAGGATTGTCGGAATTACATTGAACAGGTGAGATGACTACGTCTTGGGAAAGGAGATGCCCTCGCAATAGAGGCATACTTTTCAAAGATGCAGGCACAGTGCTCGGGGTTTTACTTTAGTATGGACTTAGATGATGACTGCAGACCAAAGAATGTTTTTTTGGGCAGACAATAGATATAGGCAATCTTACAGGGAGTTCGGTGATGCTGTCACTTTTGATACTACCTACCTCACTAATAAGTACGACATGCCATTTGTCCCTTTCGTTGGCGTAAATCACCATGGCCAATCCACACTGCTTAGCTATGGATTGTTGTCGAACGAGGACACAGGGACTTTTGCATGGTTGTTTAGAACTTCGCTTGAGTGTATGCATGGTCAAGCTCCTAATGCCATCATTGCTGATCAGGACCGGGCAATGCAAAATGCCATTCAAATTACTCTTCTAAACACGAAGCATAGATGGTGCCTGTGGCACATTATGAAAAAGTTGCCTGAAAAGTTTGGATACCACATTGAAAAGAGCTCGATATTTTATGCTATACATGGACTGGTATATGATGCGGAGAATGTACAAGAATTCGAAAGAGGTTGGAGGTCGATGCTCGATATGTATGACTTGCATGACAATGCTTGGCTATCAGGAGTATATGAGAACAGAGGTCGGTGGGTGCCTTGTTTTTTAAAAACCACATTTTGGGCAGACATGTCCACCACACAACGAAGTGAAAGCATGAATGCATTTTTCGATGGATATGTGCATTCGAAAACCTCGTTGAAGCAGTTTGTGGAGCAGTACGAAAGAGCATTAAGAAATAAGGTGGAGAAAGAGTTCCGGGCAGATTTTAGGTCCTATTCCCAGATGGTTCCGTGTGCGACAACATACGAAATGGAAAAGCAATTTCAAGTGGTTTATACCATCGAAAAGTTCAAAGAAATTCAGCAGGAATTCACCGAGAAAGTGTAGTACGACGTTGTATCTGAAAATGCCAATGACTATTATTGGTCGACTTACGAGGTTCGTGAGGATGTCGTTCTTCATGAGCACCGCAAGAAAAAATCTTTTTACGTATCATTTCGGAGGGATACATGTAAATTGATTTGTAGCTGCCACCTATTTGAATTTCGGGGAATTATTTGTAGGCATGCTATTGCAATCTTGATTCGTAATGACATAACATCGATGCCTGAGAGATACATATTAAGGAGGTAGAGACGAGATGTTAGTAGAGCACACTCGAGGATCGCAGTACATTACGATGGATTGGTCGTCCTGGACAGTTGAGGTACGATGAGATGTGCCGAATTTTTTCAGAGGTGGCGGACCTAGCAGCAGATGACGACGTATGGACACGCACTATAACGGAGTGGATGACATCGCAAATAAAAGAGTTATGGAAGTCTAAGTCAAGTGTTGAAAGCGTTGTCTACTCCCAGCCTAACAGTAGCGGTAGACACATATTGGATCTAGTAACTTCTAATAGAAATTGCGCACCGAAGAAACTTCAGAGGAAAGGACCATTAGAGTGTAGTTCAAAGAGGACGAAGGTATGTTTTACTATTACTATCTTTGTTTATAATGAATTCGTAACAACTAATCATTTCAATTGTTGCACATACAGGCCACCGCACCGTCGAACAAAGGGAAGAGGCCTAGAGCTACTCAAAGTAATGCGGAAAAGGGATCAATCGATGCCCATGCGTCTCTACCACCACAATGTCCTATGCCGACACCATTACAATACTCCATCCATCCGACAATCACAAATGTTGTGGTCAACACAGAAGGTTTGTGTTAGATATTTATGTATGTTTTTTGACGTCACATTGTGTTTTAATGTTTACCATGTAAATCAGGTCGTGTTATGCCATGCTTCTATCCAGATTTTCCCAAGCAAGGTGCGATGCACTTCTGATTTTCGGGGGGAAGGTACGTCACATTGTCTTTTAATGTTTACCATGTAAATTAGGTATTTATGTATGTTTTTTGGATCTACATACGTTGCAATCGGTTTTTTGATATTGACTATTTTTGTATTAATTTTAGTTAATTTGAACTGATTCTGTGTTTTTTAAGTTGTTGTTGATCGTTGGAGATATTTTATACATAAGTTGAGAATTTGGGTGAATGCTACCATTTAGTAATTCATCTGAATGGCTTCATTTTTTCATTTTTTTTTTGTTGGCAAGTTCTTCAACCGGCCTAAAATTACACATTTTATTTGTGGTGTATTGATTAAGTTTAAATTGGAAAATATGCATTATGGTGAAATGCACCTAACTTTCAATCATAATTCTTTTAATTTCTTGAGCAAGATTGGAAATCATATGTTTTAAGTTAATGATATCTATAACGTTATAAGCTTTGCTTGGTTTTCTTTTTTGTTTTGTATAATGACAGGACATCATTTTGCCTAGTGAGTATCTAAAGATTTTTGCAAGCAATATGGGATGTTTTAAGGTGTTGAAGAGTAAGAAGAAGAAATTTGAGCAGTCCATGCATAATAGATGTGACAAACCTCAGCAACATTCGCCAACCGTGTTGCCTGAACTAGGGTTGAACTTGTTCCGTCAAGAAATGGGATAAGCAGCCAGCAGCTTCATGAAACTCGTCAAGGACATTGAAGAATATAAATTCTGCTGTAATGAAGAAACTTCTACTCTAGTATAACTTGTGCTGTAATGAATAAACAAACAGCCAGAAGTTTTTCTATGATTTTAGGATTTTGTGTTTGACATTTCATGAATTTTTTGTGTCTGCCATTTCATTTTGTGTCTCACATTTCATTTTGTGTACAAAAACTCTCCTTAGAATGGGGATCCTATTACATTATATGCCAAAGAATGGGAAAGAATATAAGTGTTTTGCTTTCTCGAAGAATTTGTTTACTTTTATTTGTAACATCGGCCTTACTAGGTACATTCCTCGTGTCTGCATTCATGCACGAGATCATTGTTTACTATTTATGCCACGTTATGCCTAGATGGGGTACAACATCGTTCTTCCTCGTTCAAGGGCTATGAATCATAGCCGAGAACACATTCATGAGGCTAGTCTTGCCAGAACTGCTTGAATACAAAGTGGATGAAAGAGCAATTGCAGAGTATGCAGCTGTGTTTGATTTTGTGAAGGATGCAAGGTTGATTTGGGTGAAGTTTGGTACAAATTTCTGGCACAAAACTTGGAAGGAAACAGCATATGTTTATCAACACATTCAATGTCTTACAAATCACCATGAAATACATATTAGACATACATATGACCAATACATTATTATGCAAACTGAAATTCACATCATACTAGTGCCTCGACTGAAGACATGACTCAAATCAACCCCTCAATCCGACCTCTTTCCTTTCCCATCATAGTTGGCAATTCCCTTTCCCTTGCTAAAAGTCAAGTGCAGTGATATGTCAACGCCTCGTTTCTTGCTAATTCTAGCTAGCCCATCAAAGAGTCTTGACAGCTCTTCATCTTCCTTGTCGAGCGACTGATTAACCGCATGCTTAATGGAACTCGATTCCCCGCCTACATTTTCATCTTTCACCCAATCAAAGTACTCCCAGTCATTACTACAGGTAAAGAACAATCGCCCTTTGTTACTGGTTTCTCGTTCGACCTCAAAACATTTTCGATATCCGTGGTCACAACTAGGGCATCGAAGTTTTAATTGGCATTGTTCGAAGTAGTGCCTATTGCTTCTGCAACCGTGACAAACTCCGAAATTTCTTCTTCTCATTCTAGCCAAGGTCTGAAAATGAAACAGACTTGTCAACAATCAAAGATGTAGTTAAATGATTGAAAATGTCTCGTAATAAAAGTTCATCTTCCATCCATCGTACATACGTGAAATTCAGATTTATCCCTACAGACATAATTAAATAAATATTTAGGGTTTCCAATCACACATATATGAAACAATGAGGCTGTGTTTTCAAGTGTCACTGGCATACTAATTTTCATTTCTTGATCAAACAACAACAACAATTCTCATAATACATGTATTCAGAACAACCGATGTAGGAAATTCATTCTTGATTTCCCCATTAAACCAATGGGTGCCGGAATTCAACAATCAGTGAAGACATTTATGCAAACCAAGTTACGAACAAAGCTAAAATGGTGGCACCCATCTTCATAAACCAAGAAGTCTCGTAATAAATGTAACTCAAACAAAGATTAATCAACATCCAAAATCCAAACTTGTATAATGGGAAAACTTTGGACATTCAAACATGATATTTATAAATTACCATGGAAAAAGCTAAGAACCCATGTCAAACAACAACTCCACAAACACTTACGTTGATGCTAGGGGATGAATGTGTGGCTGCGGTGACTCCAGCGCCGGGGACGGAGGTGAGGGCGGTGGTTGATTCTAGTGCACACTCGAGCGTAGGGCACGCTGGCTGTGAATCGTTGCTATGGATAGCATAAAAGTGATGGACACTATGGGGGCTCATCGTCGGCACCGGAGACGGTGACTGCGGCTGTCAACTTGGCTGCGGGAGAAGTCGCGACTCCAGCAAATTTCGGGAAAATGGGGGAACTCGTTTGGGTTTAGTCAGTCAATCGGGTTGCCCTTTCGTTTTTTACCCAGTTTTTTGGTCATTTTATATTGTCATTTTATGCCAACTCAGCCATTTTAAATTTTTGTATATTTTCTGTCAAAACACCCATTTTGAATTCCTGTACCCATAGCCCGATTGTTTTTTTAATAAAAGTTAACTTATTTTAAACTAACGAATACGTATGTTAAAAAAATAATTTTATTAATACATTGTTGAGTTTAAAAATCACTTAAAATTGATTGTATTTTAATTATTACGAAGTCATAGAAGGCTAGAATTCAAATTGCAACTTTCTTAATAGATCAAGGGTACGGGCATATTTATTTATAAACAAAATGTAGCGATGGCACCCTTAAAAATAATATAAAAAAAAATTGTGATCGAAGAGTGTATATATAAAAGATTCAAAAAACAAGGTTTTTGCCTTGTGTTGAAGTAACAACCATTACTCTTGTGTTGAAGTAACAAGGTTTTTGCCCTTGGAATGTTTTTGTAAACTCGAGATTTGACTAGAAGGCCTCTGTGATGTAGATATTAAAATTTGCATGGCAATATTCAGGTGTAGCAATAACTTTTTCATTCAAATTTACCTCCCATAGTTTTGCAATGTCATCCACCATTACAAGATCAGAATCGAGATAGATCAGACGATTGACGTTGGATGGCAATATATCAAAGAGATAAATTCTTGCATAGTTTAAGGGTAGGTCTAAAGCTTGGCGAACGGATTTTGAAATCAACCCGCGAACCCTAATGGTTTCAAACTCATACACCTTGAATTTCAGGTAAGAAAAGGTGGATTTGATGCTTGAAAACACCTCAAGTTCGTGTCGTACCCAAAGGAAGTGGAAGAACATATTTTTCGGGCACATCGAATGCTGAAGAATTGATTGGACAGCAGCTATTGTTCCTCTTAGATAATTATCATCAAGGGTCATCGTAACATGAATCCTGTCTGAATTGTTGGGTTTGTAACCCAAATTAAGGTGAATTTTTTTAAAATAAATTGTTTTTTCTTTATTTTCACGTGGGAAAATTTGTCTTCCTATATTTCATGTGATTTTTATGAAAATATATTATTTCCTTATTCCACATTATTTTCATCTTTATGCTATGCCATATATCTATAAATAGTGGTCTTCTCTTTCAATTTTGTTTAAGTAAAGATTACCGAATTTTCGTATTCTCTCCATATTGTCGATTAATAAAACGTTGTGCTTTTACAATTAACTCTCTTTGTTAGTTTTTTTTACTTTTAAATCTTGTTTCTCGTCGTGGTCTTCATTATTTTATATCGCGTTGCAATACAAGATTTCCTTTATAGCAAGTAAAGATAAGAGTTATTTTGGTACAGTTGAATTTGGATGATGTGATGCTGAATTTTGAGAAGATGCC